CATGTGCCAAGCAGGGGTTGGGCCAGTGCCATGAAGGCTTGGCCATTGGCCAAGTTGGCTTTAGCGTTTGGGCACAATTTTGCCAAATTTGGCTGTGTGCCTAGTGGCACTTGATACACCATATTTCAATATAGGCTAAAAAACGTGAGAAAGAGAGAAAACAAAGAAAAACAATGAAGAAACTCACCTAGTGAGGAAGGAGGGCTTCCACATCTGCTGAGCCAAGGTGGCTACGACGGAGATTTCCCAGAAAATGAAAAAAAAAAAAAAAAAAAAAAAAAAAAAAAAAAAAAAAAAAAAAAAAAAATGAAAGGTAAGAAGCACACAGAGGCAGAAAACACGCAAGCTCAACATCCATTGGAATTGATAACAAATTTGAACAGGCCACTAACCCCTCAAGTACATCTAACAGCCTCTCTCTTTACTCCAAGATTAAAAGATGACACCAAGAACTTTGGAAGAACATGAGCAGAGTGGGATTTGAACCCACGCCCGAAGACTAGTGAATTCCTGCGACTGCCAGTCATCATTGAATAACCTAAAACTAGCGCCTTAGACCACTCGGCCATCTGCCCTTGTCTCCTCGGCCGTCCAGAGGAGATGAACAAAAATCAGCCCAGTCAAGTCTCTATCTCGTTCGTGATACATTACTGTTAAGTTGTTTGTTCAAAAGTCCGAAGAAGACTGATTGTGTTGTGGGGCGGAGGATGTTGTCTTTGAGAATGCGGATGGCTTGGATTGTCGGGGGCGAGCAGAAAAGCAGCAAGGAACGCTGAAGATTAACATGCCCAGTTACCTGCGCAGGACAGCCAGGTGGATGAAGCTCATCATGCCCAACCAACCCTCCGTTCCCGGCTTCGGTCCTTCGGCGACAGGCTCCGGCCAGCAGCCAGACTATGAGCCTCCTCCCTCTATCGGCCGCCAGAAGATGCTCATTCGTCGTCGCATCCGGAACGTCCTGAATGGAATCTCTCCCGAATCCTTGGCCACCCAAGGTAGACCACCCTCTTGCTTATCTTCATTTTTTTTTTTGACTGATTCACTAGGTTAATTTCATACTTGGCACTTTGGTTAGGAGAAGAGGTCTTGAAGCACCTGAAAGCCTTCACCCACTATGTCGAGTCTTCCCGAGTCAGCTGTTACAAGTCGATGCGGTCAGCCGAGTTGCCGACGGATTCGATCATCAAGAATTTGCTAGACAACAGTCGAGTATCGTTTTCCCTTTCTATCCGGGATCGAAAGTCGCATGTTGACCTTATCAAGTCTTGGAACCCTTCCATCACCATAACTATAATCTTTGCCCACCGGCTCGCGAAAAAAAAAAAAAAAACAGGGAAGAAAGTCTTCTTGCCGTTTGTCCATGAGCGGAACAAGACGCACACTCATCGGATGGATATGCTCGAATTGGAGTCCTGGGAAGAATTCAATGAGGGTCTCGTGCCCGTATCTTTCTCGTCTTCCCCCTCTTCTCCCCAGGTCTTTCAATTCGATCCTGCTAATATATCTGCTCGTGAAAACGGTTCGTATTTTATCAGACTATCACTTTCCAATACCAAATTCTGAATATTAACGTGAGATGTACTCCTCGACCACATTTGTCCACAAAAGCTCGCACTGAGGGATTAGATCTGGTCTTATTACCAGGTAAGGTGAATAATTCAACGATATGGCGAATAACCGACTGAGAAGAAGAAAAAATGTTTTTAGGGTTGGCTTTCGATCGATACGGGAATCGACTGGGGCACGGAAAGGGATTCTATGATGAATACCTGAACGAGTACAACTCCACAACCGAAAGAAGCCACAAACAACAAGAGAGCGTGGACCAGAAGAAGAAGCAGAGACAGCCGATTCTGGTGGGGATATGTCTGCGAGAACAGGTCTTGTCCGAAGAGGATTACATCCCCACGCTGGCCCATGACCGTAGATTGGATTATGTCGTCTCGCCCGATGGCGTCCTCCCGCGTATCAAATAACGAAACCTTTCATTGTGTGCTGAACAATCTCTCTCCCCTAGTCGACGACGTCATTGGCTGTTTTGGGAAGATGAACTCTCCTGACTGACTGACAATATTAAGGGCACATTATGTGTCTCTCCTCGAGCGCAAGTTCGGGGCAAAGATCGTAATAATAGCTCAAGTATTCCATGTACATCTTTGGTAAATCTATGGACCAATATTGCGGCCGGAGCGTCGGCTCTAGCTCATTTTTTCTCCGCCTGCTTTCGGCACTAAATATGGAGGTAATAAGTGCACTGAACCGAGTTGTACCTAGCTCAAGGACATCAGATGGCTGCAGTTGTAGCCCTCGAATATGCGCAAGTCGGCAAACAAGAACTGCATGGATACTCGGAAAGAACCTTCAGCATTCCCTCATGCACATCTGGCTTTTTTCATTCCCTTGCAGACAGTCCTTAGGTGGTGGTGGTGGAGGGCGAGCAGAGCGACTGGCGATCATGTGAGGTAGTATGGATAATTAATGAATCGCTGCGAGTAATATCCCCCTGATACCATTTCAGGCGGGGATAAAGGAATTTTGTTAAAATAAAATTAGGAAATATTTATGAAGTTTATGAGCTCAAACATGAAACATGAGTGACCTGGGTCTAACATCTTTTGATCCCTGTTTTTTTATCATCAGTTCTAGACGATGTAAAACACAAGCAAACAACTTTATTCGAGAGATCTATCTATTTACATATGTAAGCGTTGGTCCTCCTGTGTGCGTTTACGTGGTCAGACAAATGCTAGCAAACAAAACCGAACTTGCTCGCAGTCTCATCATCTCAATTCTCCTCCACGACAATATCTTGACCATTGGGGTAGGGGATGTATGTCATTCAGCTACTCAAGCAGCCCAACCAAATCATCTTTTTACTTCAGAAAATGAGCGCATCATCTCACTCTCCACACCATCAGGGGTGGCCAGTCAAAGCAAAGCAAATCCAGACTCCTACTCTGCCAGATCACAGGCAGACGGCATCTTGACGGAGCGTCTTGATATAGGCCAAGTCGAAGAAGGGGATGATAATTTCGAGACGGGAAAAAGTTCTGATAGACATAGGAAGCACGGTGGTAATTGGGTGGGAAGGATTCCCCAGGGCGAGGCACAGGCAAGCAGGTGGGTTCCATATCCACACGAGGTATTCGATCAAACCTTCATATCTTATTATCCCCTTTTCACAGGTCGAATTTCTCAGTAGAAAAGGAAGCCGCAAACCCGAGGAAAAGTCAAAAGAAAAGGAGAAAGAAAAAAGGCGGCGTAGGTCGCTCCCCTCTGGAAAATTCTTCGTCGGAGGTCCAAAACAGGCTAGTGCTTTTCTTGAATATTTCTACTTTGCTCGATTGATTTATATTTGTGCATACATGTGGACTCTCGGATTGCTGGGTCCGATAGACCATCATGTAGCCACCGAAGGCCCTTGCGGGAAGGAAACAGTGGAGCAGACCTTCGCCTGGCGAAGTTGTTGGAAGTGGGTACCTCAAATACCGGACGACAGGATTCCAAGGAAGACATGGATGAAGCCAGCAGTATCACCAATCATTTCAAATTGCTTGAAATCAGTCAAAGGAAAGCGGCGTTAGAATTGGAAAATAAACGCGAAGAAAGATTCAGGACGTCTTTCCAGCCGAGGGAATCAGCCAATCCGGGCGAGATATTTCCGGGAGTTATCAAGGGGAAATGGAGCGATGTTGTGCATACATCACAGCCCTTGTTGAGCCGTGTGGTGGACATTACCAAGGCGAAGGCTGCAAGCGCACTCCACGGGCGTTCCGGAGAAGAAGAAGCAACTCCGCTCCGTATGCATGAGACCATCTCACGCTTTGCGCTCAACTTCTTCGAGCGCCAGTTGAATCTCTCCAATCCCGACGATCATTTGCCCCTCGAGGAACTGAGCAACGAGACTTACAAGACCCTGAAGTTCGTCTGGAACTCCAATCCGAAAGGAGTGGTCCAGGGGATGCAACGAGCTGCAGCCATCCATCCTCACTTGAACAGGTATGAATTCCACAGGAGAATCGTCACCTTCACCACCCAAATCACGCAGAAAACTATCCTTGAGAACTGGCCCTTGATCAAGAAAACCTTGCAGGGGGGTCAGCTTAAAGTCCCCCAGAGCATCCTCAATAAGTTTGAAGACTATTTCATGCTAACGCACGAGTTTCCAGATGTGTTCGTCTGGTCAGAGAAGTACTTCTCAGGAAAACACCCAAATTGGAAGCCATTGACGAAGAAAGGTCAGAATCCCTCAAGCCTCTATCTGTCAGTCGTGGGCAAGATCGAACATCATCGCAGACAGAGAGGAACGAACGAATATCTCATAACCAAGCCGCAATGGAACCTGTCAACAAAGCTGCTGGAGGAAGCCAAGCAAGCCGAAAAAACAAACGGGGTGAACGTCTGGAACATCGCCCATGTGATCCTTGGGCTGGGATTAGGAGAAGAGAAAGACTGGGAGTTTTGTGAGGATGTCGAAATATATAATCGTGCCATTGTGCTCGATCAATTGTTGGCAAGCTGGTACGACGAAATCCCTTGGTTCCAATCTGCCGATAGGGCCTGGCTGAAGCGCACTTTCAAGAACCACTATGATCAGCAATTCAGCAGCTTGTGCCGCACGGCTGCTGAGCGACTGTACAAACATGATCAACTCTCCTCAAGCCGTTTACTTGACCAGACAGACAAATTGGGAACAGAAAAATCAAGAGGTGATACGATGATTCCCAAGATTCTTGAGGAAAGGGTGGAGCAGAGATTGATGGTGAAGGAGCATGGTCTTGATGAGAAAATCTTGCTTACAATCAACCTCCTCAAAGACCAACATACCCTCACAGATGGTCACACCATTGATTGGAGTTCTATCTGGCGCTCTTGGCCCGCAGAATTGGTGGAGCTTGATTTGGAACAGAGGGAGTTTGCTATGCAATGGCTTCACAATGTTCTTGTTCGCACCACGGGGAATATCATCAATTCCTAATTATCATAACTTTCACTCGAATCATCACGCACATACACATCTGCCCTTGAACTCAGTTGGAAACTAATAAATTCACATCTTTGGATAGTTAGGGAGATCAGCCTTTGTCACCACCTGCACTTCCTTCCTTGTATTTTTCGGCTCCATTAGGTTCTACAATCATTCAATTGTTAACGGCCTCAAATTTGTGATTTGATAGTAAATTGAAGAACTCATAATAGTGATAATGGAATGATAAAATTATATAAATATTGGAAGGATAATAAAAGGATAACAGATGAATCAAAAAAATAATAATACAGAGGATAATAAAATAATAGCATTGGGGGCTTCTGAGTTTGGGTTGGGCGTAAGGAAAGAGAGATGAAATGACAGTGAGCTGGGAGAAGTTCACCGGATGCGGCTCAGGAGGTGACATGTAAAAGGAATCTGTAGAACCAATAATTTGTTGCTTGGAAATAGCTAGAGTTAAATAGACTAGGTACAAGTTTATTATTTGAATTATTTTCATTTATTTTATATTTATATTCATCCACCAATCATACTCTCCATTACCAGATCCGTTCCATACCGGAACCAATAATTTTCCCACTGTTC